GTAATTGTGCACACCGCAGCTCAAATAAGACATAAAATCATGATAAAAAGTTTGATCACGTGGATGCAAGAAGCGCTTAAAATTTCTTTAATCAGACCAACTGCGATGTCTTCATTGAAGGAGAGTCAGAAAGCGGCTGTGACCCAAATTGCATGGATTCCACCATATAACAGTATAGATTCGAGTGGCAGAATTACATCATTACCTAAAGATGCGAGTATTGATGATTTATCATCACAATTTCTTACCGCGAGCCAGGACGGTACGATCGCTTTTTGGAATTTAAAATTAGATGAAAAGTTAGTCTTTTTTTTAAATAAATTCTTTTTATATTACTTATATTACATATATTAGTAAACAATTTAATTTAAGTTTATAACAAATATTTTATTACTATTACTAATAGGAATGTTAATGATAGGAATGTTAAAAAATCTAGAGAAGGAAAATTATGATAAACAAAAAATTTCTCCAAAGATATATCTTAAATATATTTATCAAATGTCATTATTTATTATATAATATCATACAAATATTTTTGTAATGCATATTGAAATTACATAATTTTATCTTTGTGCTATGATAATTAAATTCAAAGTCAAATGTAAATGTAAATAGATAATAATTTTTTATATTAAAATAGAAAAATTCTGAATATAAATAATGAAATATCTATGATAGATTAGTTTCAATAAATGGTTAAAATATTGCATAATTCAAAATTATTACAAATTATTAAACAATTATCTAATTCTTCTTCTATAAATATATTCATCTATTATAAATTCAGAAATTAAATTTATATTTATTATATTATATATAAATTAATCAGAAAATTAATCAAATTATTATTTATTTCAAGATGGATAGCATTAAAAAAGAAGGATACTCGAAAAAGAAAAGAAGCAAAAGTGAAAAGACCAGAAGCATTAGTGGAATCTATATCTCCGTATAAAATATTGGATCGTATTTTCAAGCCTCATTATATTTTGGTGATTCAACATCCGAACGAAAGTCGAAAAGTAGTGATTACTACTATGACTATTTATGTACCAAAATTTAAGAAAGAACGTATAGACGTTATTCCACCTACAGAGGATATAACTATTCGAAGATTTTATAGAAATATAATCGAAAAGCCTGATTTTGAAATGGAAAGAAATATATATGTTGGTACTGTTGAAGGTATACAAAAAAAAGTATTTAGGAAAGAAATAAATTATCCTATCCAATCAAATATTTGATCTATTGAAAATCAAACAAGTCAAATCAAAAAGTCTTTTTATTGATTATAAGATTTTATCATTAGGTGATTTTGGTTGTGTCACATGGGAAGGATATGATTTTACTACGGATTTAACTATTAATACTGAAATATGTCGTTGGATTTGGTATAATAAAATACATGATGGTCCTGTAACACATGCTGTTAGGAATAGACAAGATGCAAATTGGATTGCCACTATAGGTGGAAAAATATATGCCGTTTGGAAAGAAAATTTTGGTTTACCAGTAATGTGGAAGAAGTTAGATATTGGGTACTTCACAGATATTTTTATATTTAAAAATCTTTTCTTTTCTTTCTCTTGTTATTAAAACTTAATTAATAATATAAAAACTGTATCTTTTATTTTTATATTTACATTCTAATAACTTATTATTCAAAATTTAATTTAAAAGTAATTAATATACTTTTATTTTAAACTCTAATTAAAGCTTATATATAAACATATTTATTTTAAACAAAACAAAAAGTAATAAATATAATTAAAACAGTCTTATTATATTACTCTAAAATTATTATTATTTTTAAGAAAGCATTATTTTTTTTATTATATTAATCATATTATTTTTTCTAAATTATTTATATATATATATATTTTATATCGAAATATATCTATTTTTTATATAGACTTACTGCTGTTTCATGGGGTAGTTATCGTCCCACGGTATTAATTTTAACAAGAACAGATGGTACTGTTGAATTATGGGATTTCCAAGTGAAAACAGATAGCCCATGTGTTACCCAGAGTTTATCAGGTCACATAATTACGGGAATATATCCTCACGATTTAAAATTGGATCCACAATGCATAGGATTTTGCGATTTCAATGGTATCCTAAGAATGTTCCTATCTCCTGGTGATTTTTTGAAAGTAGATTTAAGTGATATGGAGTGGATGATAAATTTCATTCAGCATCAAGTCGCAAGAGTAAATTTATTTTTTTATATTATCTTTAAATAAATTTCATTAACAATAATATTAATAATTAATAATTTCTAATATTTTTTTATAATAATTTATTTATACTTTAAAAAAATTTTTTTTTTAATTTTTCAATAAAAAATTCTTTCTCATATATATAGATTAATTATGAAAAATTACTTTAATAAATATTAGGCACAAAATTGTAAAGAATGGAGAGAGAAATGGTTTCAAGCAAATTATATAGATATTGAAGAGAAAAGATTAGCACAGGAAGCAGAGAAAAAAAAACAAGAGGAAGAAGAGAAAAGAATTGCCGTTAAAACAATGGAACCCGAAACTACTCTAGAGCCTGTAAAAAAAACATTGGTACATTTCATTTTAATAAATTAACACTAATAAAAAAAAAAGAAATGACTGAAAAAAATTATTATATTAATTGAATTAATTAATTAATTCTTAGAAAAGATGGGAAATGATTGAAGATGCGCGCGAAAAATGGAAAGCAAGAGAATTGAAGCACATGCAAGAAGTACTTTTGGAAAAGAAAGGCTTAAAAAAAGATGATCTTGAAAGGCAACGTGAACCCATACTAAAATTACGACAGGAAGCACAAAGGAAGAAGAAACGGTTACAGGAGACATTAAAAATGCAAGAAGATATTTTCGAGCATACCAAGAATCTTTTCTTCCCCGCAGGTCCTCCCCCAGAGATCAAACCTATCTTACCACCAAAAGAAATTGATTTAGTCACTGTAGAAGATACTATACTTGAACAAGAAGTAATGGTATATAAAAGAAAAAAATTACACATATATACAATCTGGATTTCATTGAAGTTACATGAAAAAAAAAAATAAGTCGAAAATATAAAGTATTTCAATTTTCATTATATTTTTATCTATAAACGTTAAGCAAAATACAATATATTTTAATAGAAAGAAGATTTTCAATAACTTTTAGAATAATTTTTTATAATAATCGAAAGAAAATTCTTGAAAAAAAATAATTATTTCTATTTTATAAATTATAATAAAAAAAATAAAAAAAAGCATGAATAGAAATATAATTATTGTATAACTGATACATTCATGTGTGATAATCGAATATTAAATTTAAATGTACATATACTCTAAGAATATTTAAAATTATTCGGAAATAATTTTATATGAAAAAAATTAACTTATATTTTCGATTTATTCTTTCGATTTATTTTTTACTTTTCAAGTATCATCAAATAATTCAATGATATATTTTAAATAAAATTTTAAATTAATTTTCATTCACAATTTTTTTTTGTAATGAATTCTAAGGACATTCAAGTTCGAGTTGATCCAAACGAAGAAATCATTAATCATTTTAAGGAAACACAAGCTACAATAATGGCTGAGCTACAAAAGAAACCATTCATTTATACGTTTAATTGGAAGCAAATTTTAAGAAAAGGAAAAAGATTTCGTGATACACTGGCTACCAAATTGAGCAAAAAAATTGCAGCAGATATAAGAATATAAAATTCAACAAGCAAATATTTGTTTTATATGTGTTTTAATAAAATGATGTGTAAAATTTTATTAGCTTTTTATTCAATCATAGTTAAATTATTAAAAAAAATATTAAAAATAAAAATTTATGTGTTTACATATTCCCTTAAATAACTAAATTAAATTTAAATACGTATAAATACTTTATACATTAAAAATAATTGTATTTAATTTAATTATCATAATAAAAAAATAATGATAATTATTTAATAATTATAATAAAAAAAATTAAAAATTTTTAATTAAATCAATTTAATAAAAATAAAGTTTCAATTATATGAAATTAATATAAAAGATAAACTTAATATGTTATGAGAAATTATTAAACTTTAATTAAAAAAAAATAAAAAGAAAATATTATAAATTTTTAATTATAAATTTAATTGCACGAAATATTATTACATAGATGAATAAGATAATTCACGTTCATATAAGTCAGTTAACAATCACTGTTTCACAAATATTTGCTATAAAAAAAATTAAAGCAGACAAAAAAGAACAATTTATGTTGTAATTATCCTCATCTTCTGTTTTATTCTCTTCTTCAACGTTGTTCAATTTTATTAAACAATAAAATTGCATTAATACAGAATAAAAAATATAACAAAAAAATAATAAGAAAATAATAATATAAAATTACAAAATAAATAATATAAAATAAAAATAAAATTACAAATGTTCAAAAAAATTTTTTTTTCAAATAATTTATAAGTCTATAATAATTTAAGGAGATAATAATGATAATAATTGATTTTAATATTATTTGAATATACATTAATCTTACTTTTTTTTTCTTTTGGAATTTATAATTAAATGAAAATTATTTAGAAAATTTTTTCACGGATATTCAATTTATATCTCGAATAATCGTTGCTTAATTTTTAAATTTGTCTAACAATTCTGTATAATATTCTATCTATCTCCTATAATATTGCTCAACATATTGAATTCATAAATTATGTTCTTATATCAAAAAAATATCAAAGAAAAAAAGTGTCAGATTTCGAAAAGATTTTAAACAATTAAATAGAAAAAAAGATACAAGTTGAAATAGAATAGAAATACAAGACATCAAAGTTTTGATCTATATTGATAATTTTGACAATGATTGTACTTCGTGTATATATATATATATATGTATCGAATAAAATATTCTCTTCCATAGGCAATTGTTATTAATAGCTATCTTTCTTTTGTTTAATGGACATTTTATATTTCGATTGTAATAAAAAGTTTCTATGCGCGCTTATTAAAGTGAAATTTACTTTAATTTATTTTATGATTTTTAAAATAAAAAAGGTAAGTTATACTATAATAATATATATACTATAAATATATACTATAATAATCATAGTTTTCATATATTAATGAAGATTTAAAATATTCATATCTTTATTTATAATAAAAAAATAAAATAAGAGAAAAATGATAAATTGAAATATGAGATATTTGACTAATAATAGCAATATAATTAAAATTTTTTGAAGATTTTAAAGATAAGTTATAAAGTTATAGAGTTATACTGTGCCATCATATTAATTATGAGTGATTATATAAGATTCAGAATTTACATATGCAGTTATTACAAAATAAGATAAATTGTTCGTTTAATTGTGATTGTTTTATTATATTTGATATCTATTATTTATTATGTTTGTACATTAATAAAAACTTTTTATTAAAACTTTAATATAGTTTCATGATTTATTTCTTTCAATAGTAACAATACTCTTTTCAATAGTAACAATGTCTCATACTATTACTATTATATATGAAATTGTATTTAATCGGATTTTGTTTTTATTTATAAAAGTAAAAAAATTAAAAATTGTGTAAAGTCTATAATATTTATGTTTATGTAGCATATATTATATAAAATTCCTCAAACTTTTGATTTTTCATTTATTACTATTCTGAGGTTTTTTACATTAAAAAGTAAAACGAATATCCCATATTTGTATTTTTTCCTCTTGTAATAATATTCTTGTAATAGATAAATATAAAAAAATATATTCATATATTTAAATATTTATTATTACTTTATATTACTACTTAAATATTTATTATTACTTTATTTTGTTTTGAAAAATTATTTCTGATTCTATTTCTATGATATCACAATATTAACAACATATATTTTTTTTAACATTTAATTCAAAGATATAAGTCCAATCAGTTTCTACTAATAACCTCAAATATGGATAATAAATGTTCTTGTCAATCTAGATTTAAAATTTTTTATCGTGTTTAACGATTGCTTTTGTAGCGAGAATATATGATTTAATGATTCATGGTCGTTCTTGAAGCAGGTGTTCATTGAAGAAATAATGAGTGGGGATATATTTAATAGAATCATCTCTTTTTATATGAGCATTTTAACTCACATCCAGTCACTTAGTCAATATCTATGACTTCAAGAACGTGTACGCGATATTCAATCCTTTCACTTTCCAAGTGCAAGCTCTTTGTTTACGACATAATATTTATCTATAACTTTTGATTCAATTATTATCTCACCTGTGCATATAGCAAACTTTTTTTTGATTTATAACTATTGCAATTTTTATAATTTATAAAAAAAAATTATAATAATTTTATATAATTTTACAATTAATATAATTAATATAATTATAATAATTTTATTTCAAAATTTGACTTAAAAGATTATTAAAATTTATAAATAATAATATAAATTTATATTATATTAATTTTTGTTTAAATTGTTAATTTTAATATTTTATTATGTAAGTATATTCCTTTTAAATATAAATATAAATATAAATATAATTTGGAAAATTATTTATTTGCCATTTTTCAAATTTAGTTGACTTCATTTTAATTAACATTAAACTTTATGAAAAAATATGTAAACTTATAATCTATGATATTAATAATAATTTAATAATAAAAATAGATTTTAACATTTAATAATGATTTAATATTAAACTAATTAAAAAAATTAAATTTTCATAATTAAATTATATATAATAATTTGAAATTGTTTTCAGAACATTCATTATGAATAGAATAATTGTATTACTACTTGGAATTCTAATTGTCGAAACTGTCACTGAGACTGAGAAAGTAAGTTTACGAAAATACTATAATATCTATTATATCTATTATCTATAGTTAGTATTAGTATAATATTTAGATTTTTGTTTATGATATTAATATTTGAAAATTGCTATTAATCGATAGTTTTTGTATTGGACATCGATATTATTCGCAATTGAATCTTTACAAAATCTTTAATAATATAAACTTCAAATTTTTAATTTTTATATAACATAAAACTATATAAACTTATTTGCAAACCGTAATAATATAAATATTTATTATCATAAAAATAGAAAAAAACTGCAAACGTCAACTTGATACCTCATAATGCCCAAATAAGAAACGTAACAGGTAAACTAACTATTGTTCAAAATGATGATAATTCTGTTCATATTACTGGAAAAATAAGTGGACTTACAAAAGGATTACATGGTTTCCACGTACATGAAAAAGGAGATTTACGAAATGGTTGCACATCTACCGGTCCACATTTTAATCCTGAGAATGTAAATTATACATATAAAGTTTATATATAAAGTATTATATATAATATTCAATTCTCGATATATTAAATCAAATGATAAATTAAATATTTAATATAATACATATTAATATATATTATTTAATATATACATTTTAGGTTACCCATGGTGGACAAGATAGTCCAATAAGACATGTCGGCGATTTAGGTAATATTCGAGCAAACGCTAAAGGTGAAGCAGATGTACATATCAAAGATTTCATTATTTCTTTGACTGGAAAGAATAATATTCTTGGACGTGCAATAGTTGTTCATTCTGGTGAAGATGATTTAGGAAAAGGAAACAGTAATCTTTCTTCAACCACTGGAAACTCGGGAGATCGTTGGGCTTGTGGTATTATCGAAGCTAACTAGATTTCTCTGAATTTGATCCTTCATTTGATTCTATATTTAAAATTTAGAATTTAGGTTAAAGATTCTCAAATATCTTATAAATAAAATGAAATATAAAATTTAAAATAAAAATAATAAACTTCTATTTGTTATATTATAAATATATTCAATTATTACCATTATTATTATCAAACAATATCTATCTTATATTTCTTTATATTTATAATATTAGATAATTAATATGAAAAAAATAAAATTATAAAATTATAAATTATAAAAAATATCTAAGAATTTATTATATTTAACATTAATTTATTATATTCATTACTATATTTAATTTACATAAAAAATTAATAAATCCAAAAATTGCATTTTTAAAATTTATTATATACATAAATTTTATTATTCAAAATTTAGTTATTTATGGAATTTTATTAAAATCCATTCGTTTACATATTCGGAATATATAATATTTTTTTAAATTGTAACAACATATTTTTTGACTGAAAATATGATTGAATTTGATATACGCTTCATTTATATAGAACCTCATTTTCGTGCTCTATTTTTTTGATCTTTAATATTTCCGATATTGTATTCACTTATGAATTTGGAATTTGGCCATCGATAAAACATAGAAGTAAAAGAAGATAGATATTCCACTTTCTTGCTCATTGACAACACGTGATGTTATATATAATATGATCTTATCTATAGATCATGTTATATATAATATGATCTTATCTACAGAAATGTGATATTTTTAATTAAAAGATGTTTTTATTTTATGATTAGATTTTATGATTATATATCTATCAGAAATAATCAATTAAATTTAACATCTCAGTTCTATTTCTTTTAAAATTATTTTAAATGTATTTTATATTTTAATTTCTAAATATACAAAATATAACAATTTAAAAAAAAGTAGAATTATATTTGCTTTGAATGCTGGATTAATTTAATTTATATTTTGCTAATTTTTTGTTTCTAATCAAATCAAAATGAAAGATATACGATACATAGGATGTTACTAAATAATGGATAAATTTGTGAGATATCTTTAAAGATTTGATTCTAAAACAAACAGTAAGTTATTATATAAAAATATTAATTGAATTTAAATTATAAACAATTTAAATTTGCGTTAAATGAAGAGAAATGGAAAAAAAATAACAGCGTCTCACTCTATCTGTGCCTTACTTTATCTAATGCTAATTGATATATACAAACAATTGGTGATTCATAAGCAGCATTTCTCACTTCCATAATCTCAGTCCACTATATTCTTTAGAGTTTGAAAAAAAGATAGAAAGAAGACGTAAGAAATAAGAGTGTATATAATTATGTAACAATAAAGCAAAACATAGTAGAAGAATTTTATTAATAATGAGAAAATCTGTGTAATAATAATGATCATGAAACAACGATAAAAAAGTTGTCTAGGCTTTGTAACTTAATAAATAATTTAGCTAATTTTTATATATCAATTTTTGTGTTTATTTATCGAATGAAAATTTCAAAAATATTTTGTGAATATATTCATATACAGATATGCAACATTTTAAAATAAATTTTTATAATAAATTATACTATGATTATTTTTTTTTTATATTTTTTAATATTTGCCAATGTTTTAAATATTCTTTTTCTATAAATACATTCTAATATTAATGTTATAATTATTATTATAATACATTCTAATATTAATGTAAAGTATAACAATTCAATTCTAATTTAATTTAATATTTTTGATCATCAAATAAATTTTATTATTAGAAATTAAGATTTTTTTATAAAAATAAGAATTTTTAATTTCATTAACATTTTTAATTATAAATACATAAGTAACAAAATAAAAAATTTTTTTTCGCCGAACTATTAGAAATTGAAATCTTAAAATTTCATACATAATTTTATTAACGTTATTTTTTATATTTTAAAAACGAAAATAATATATTCTTATGTTGAAAAAAAAAAAAACTTTGAAAGTGAAAAATCAGAAATTTATATCATTTTTATGTTATTTCCAACATTACCGATTGAACTCAAAGTAAGATGAATTCAATTCAAATATAAAATACGAACGATTATATGATCAATTTAAAAAGATTGAAAAATATATTACAATAATTTATAATATAATAATTTACAATAATCATTATATTCATAGTTATACTGATTAATATAATTAAAGTTTTAAGAAATTTTGCAACATATTAAAAATATGGATACATTCATTTGTAACAAGTGTTTTGCAACAACAAATAGAGGAAAAAAACCATTTTGTTTAACTCAATGTGGTCATATATATTGTCATGGATGCATACAACAAGGTAATAATAAACAAAATTAAATAAATAAAATAAAATTATTAATAAATATTGTTTATGTCATTTAATACACTTCTAAAAATAAATTTTTTCTTTCATAAGCTGAAAAACAATGTCCTCAATGTGAACAGATCGATATTTTTTCCGTTGAATTACAACAACCATCATTGTCAAAAGTAGAAAATTTCTTTGTTCCACTAAGTGAATCATTGGAATCATTACATAAAATATGTGGTTTTCAAAATAATCAAATGAAAATCATGATGCAACGCTTTTATGAAATTGTGCAGTTTCCGTTTTTTTCTGTTTTATTCTTCTTAATATTTTAAATTAAATAACTTTTATTAACTATATATTAAATTAAAAAAAATATATAAATTAATTTATAATTAATAATAATTTATAAATTTAAGGATCAAAAATACGAAACGTTGAAATCACATTATCATAACCTTACCCAACACATAAATATAATTAGGGATAAATATGTAAAATTAAAAATGGAATATACTGAACAAAAAAAGAAATTGATGTCATTCGAAATGCAAAATGAAACATCAAACTTTTTGAATAATACAACTACACCAATGAAATCAAATCAAAGAAATTCAACAATAAGGTATAAGTTAAAAATTAAAACATTCAAAAATATATTTTAAAAAATAAAAGAAAAGATATGACTTATAAAACATTTTTATTAATAGAACTGGATCGAATTCATATTTTTCATCTTATAAAACAAATATATCAAGTCAATCATTTAATATAAGAAAAGAAAAAGAACTTTTAGAAGGTTTTCGTATTCCTCATCATCAAACAATACGATCAATTGGTTCTCGTAAAACTTCAGAATCAGATACGAATTCTATTTTTTTTATTAAATAGATACTTATAAAACATTTTATTAACAAATATAATAATTAAAATTATCTTATCATAGAAATCTTTAAAATTAAAAATATAGAAAAAATGAATTTTAAAAAATAAAAGTTTAATTTTTTTTAATTTTTTACGTAATTAAAAATTAGGTTAATAAATGTAGATTTTTATTTAAATTCATATAAAATTAATTTTTAAGTGGTTGATTAGATTAATTAAATGATTAATTATTTATAGATTATAAATTTAAAATAGGAATATAAGTTATTTTTATGAAAAATTGTAATTATTTGATAAAGAAAAGTTATTTAAATTATATGTTGCTTAAATTAAAAATAAATAGTTTAGAATTACAATAATATTTTTTTTAAATAATATCATAAAAACATGTGTCATATAATTTTTTGATAAATATAATAATAATAATATTAAAATATTATTTCAATATTAATGTTACATAAATATTTAATGAACTATTGTGTATCAGGTTAAATATACTCTTATATGTATACGTGAAAGTCGTACTTTAAATTAAAAACATCTTTAAGTCGTACTTTAAATATCAAAACATCATGACAACGCATAGTAAATCATTAAATATGAAATGTATTTTCATTACATCATTAATAGTAAGTAATAAAATGTTTATTTTTGAGTATTATGTAATATATATGTAATATAATATATATGTAGTATAATATATAAAATTTCTTTGTAAATTTTAATTATAGAAAAATAAATTTCTACATATCACTGATATATATTTTATAAAAATCAGAATAATATTCTCGAAATAAATTATAAAAAATAAATATAAAATATAAAAAATAAATTATATATACTTTAAAATTCAAAATTGTATTGATTATTATTGCATAAATTATTAAATAATTTAATATTGATTTCAATAGGCAGGAGGATTGGCTGGCACAATAGTTGATGTAATATTATTTCCATTAGATACATTAAAAACGCGATTACAATCTAAACAAGGATTTATAAAGTCAGGAGGATTTTCTAATCTTTATAAAGGAATTCTTCCTGTAACAATTGGTTCTGCACCAAGTGGTAAACAACTATTATAAAATGAAATCACTTAAAATATATATAACTATTTAAATCTATAATAATAGATTTATCTTTTAATTAAAAACTATTAAATCTATAAATTTAATGTATAATATATGATTATTTAAATAATTTTTTTAGCTTCTTTATTTTTTGTAACATATGAAAGTATTAAAAGTATAGCACAATATAAAATACCTAAAAAATATGATTCTTTTCTTCATATGAGCTCAGCATCTTTAGCAGAAATGGTAAATTTTAATAATTAATTTAAAAAAAAAAGAAAAAGAATTAAAGTTATATTGAAAATTAAATCATAATAACAAAAACTTTACATTCAGGTAGCTTGTTTAATAAGAGTACCCGTAGAAGTAATAAAACAAAAAAAACAAGTTTCAATGTTAGATAGAAAAGATATTAATCTTAAAATGTTGTATTGTGGTTATTGGAGCACTGTGTTAAGAGATATGCCTTTTAGTTTAATACAATTTCCAATATGGGAATATTTCAAAAAAATTTGGAGTTTACATGTTGACAGAGAAATTCTTCCAATAGAAAGTGCTATATGTGGAGCAATTGCAGGTTTAAAATTTTATTATTCTAATAGAATCTTATTTAATATATAATTAATTTTATATTAATATCTAGGTGGTATTTCTGCAACTGCTACTACACCATTTGATGTTATAAAAACAAGAATAATGCTTTCACATACAAACGAAAAAACTTCAAAGTTAAAAATACTATATATATTAAAAGATATATATAAAGATAAAGGTTTACAAGGGTAAATTTTGGAATTTAATTTATAATTTTTTAAATTTTGCATAATTTAATTTTAAAATTTCAAAATTTTATAGACTTTTTGCTGGTTTGGGTCCTAGAGTAATTTGGATAACATTAGGAGGATTTATCTTCTTTGGAATGTATGAAGAAATAAAGATTAAAGGAATAAATTATTGTTTATTTGAATCTATTATTTGAAAGAAAAATATTAAATATTATTAATATCTTTAAATTTTATTTAAAATTATATATATAATATTTTAAAAATTTAATTTTCTTTTATTTATTGTTAAATAACAATAAAAATATATAAAATACAAAATATTATAAGAATATATAAAAATATATCTTATATTAATTTTCAAAAATTATGTACATAATAAAAACTGAATAATTGCACAAGATTATTGAATTTTATAAAATTGAGACATTATAAAACAAATATATTTTTAATTCTTAGTTCTTGTTTCCTTTTATTTATTGCTGTTTTCTATGCGCGATGAAATACAAAGAAAATTTCGAAATGAATTGAATCATTGGAATCAAGAATCAATTCCAATATTCCGGATTGGAATCTAATTTATCCAATTTATTGTAATTTTATTCTATTTTATAATATTATATCGTTTTATATATTATATTATATATAATATAATATATTTTATATAATTATTATATATATATTTAATTTTAAAAAAGTAACAATATGTTTAATATAAAAAGAATATTTTCATCTTAATTTAAGATATACTTCTTAAAAAGAGAAAACATTTAATTTTTAAAGTTTAGATTTTAAATGTTGCATTAATTTTTCTAATTTCATTGCTTTTTGAAGATTTCCACTAATTTTCAGTTTTCCCATTACAAATGCTGATGCAGGTTTTAATTTTCCTAAACATAATTTATTATTGGAAAAAGTTATTTTAAATTATTTTTTAATATTAAATTAAATATATATTTAATTAAAGTTATATTTACCAGAAAACATAGCAAAAAAGTTTTCAGAATCCATTGTCAAAGTAACATCTGGTGATTGATTAGGTTTTCCTTTACCTGCTACACCATCTCCAGTTTTTAAATCCAAAAACCATGTACCTGCTTCATTACCTATTAAACTATATCAATTAATATTTCTAAAATAAATAAAAAAAGAAGTAAATATTTAATCTGGCAAATACCTTTAACATTAAATTGAAATATGGCTCCAATTTTATTAACAAGTTCATGATTCAAGTTAGCTTGAATAACAGTAAATATTTGTGCAATTTTTTTATTTGATTTATTATTTACATCATATATATCTTTTTGAAAAATTTTATTCAATACATCTATTTTATCTGAACTTTCTATAAATAAATCCAATATTAAATTATCTTTATTTTCTAAAAAAAATAAGAAAATAAACAATTGTCATCATTTTTTTTATAAAATATCAATTATTATAAAATTATTATATTGCATTTAATATACCTGGATTATATGCATAATCTGTGAAATCTGTAATTCCTTCATTTCTTAATATTTCCTCATCAATTAAAAATTTTCCAGTAATAAATTTACTATCTTTACAAATTAAAGCATACACAGCATCTGCCATTATTTCTGGTTTACGAGCATAATCATTTGAGTTTTCAGATAACATTTCAAATGCAGCAGTAGCAATAGCTAAAAAATAATAAATTTAAATTTATAGCAATAAATAAAGATTTCAAAATAATTTTTTTTAAATAATCAATATAATCAATTAAATAATCAAAATAAAATAGAATAAAAATAATATAATTAAAAAATAATTTACCAGTTTTTGGCCAAACAGTATTTACAGCAATACCATCATTTTTAAATTCCTCAGCCATTCCAAGAGCACACATTGACATTCCATATTTAGATATTGTATATGCAATATGATTTTTAAACCATATTGGTTTCATATCTAATGGTGGGCTAATATTTACTATATGAGGATTTGAGCTTTTTTTTAAATAAGGTAGACATGCTTTAGATCTTAAAATAAATATCAAGAATAAATAACAATAATATTATTATTTATGATTTGCGTAATTTTGAGAACATTTTTATACTTACACTAGAAATGTTCCTCTAGTATTGATATTATTCACAAGATCATATTTTTTCATTTCTGTAGATAATGTATCTATCAAATGAATTGCACTTGCATTATTAATAACAATATCAATACCACCAAATTTGTTAACAGCATTTTCCACTGCAGAAATTACATTTGTTTCAAATCTTACATCTACTATACAAGGTAATGCTTTTCCACCCATTTCTTCAACTAAAAGAAATATATTTTTTGATAAAAAAAAATTACTTATTATTTAAAATTTAAAATAAATAATTAAATAATTATTTAGAATTTAATAAATAAAAAAATAATTATTTAGAATTTTTTATTACACATTAATTACTTTCTTTAGCAGCAGTATATATAGTGCCTGATAATTTTGGATGTGGTTCAGTAGTTTTAGCTGCAATGACAATATTTGCTCCATCTTTTGCAGCTTTCAAAGCAATGGATTTCCCAATTCCTCTTGAAGCTCCAGTAATGAAAATTGTTCGACCAGCAAGTTTTCTATATTAAGTATAACATTATTGTTATAAAGTTATAATCATCAACATAACTGATTAAAAAATTTATTAATATTTATTAATAGTAATTATATATTTATATATATTTATTTATAATTAATTATTATATATAAAATTTATCTATAATATATATTCGAATATATATATAAAATAAATTAATTTTAACAATTTCATATACATATATTTTTTTTACAAATTTAATAAATTTTCTAAGCAATCAATACGCGCAATCTTAAAAAAAATCTTATATTTTTAAATGATTGTTAAATTTATAATACAAACCCTGTATTAATCATACTTCAAATATAAATTGAAGAATTATTATAATTTAATAATTGTTATATTTATTTTAATCAAGTAACAATAATTAAATAAAAAATATCTAAACAAATAGTATTTATGCTTTAAATAATAATTTTGCTTAATAACAAATTCGCTTCTTCGTTTAACAAATTAATATTATAATAATTCGTGAATTTAAATTATTATTACTTGTAAGATTATTTTAAACAATATGGCGTAAATTCAGCATAGAAAGATAAAGCATAGAAAGATATTCGAATTTAATGTATCTATGTTTACATTTTACTTTGTAAATATTATTTCTCTTTTAAATGCATGTATATTAAAATAAATAAATGCAAAAGAATTTTTGAAATATTTTAATGAAAATGTTAAAATTATTTCATAAACTTTTATATGAACATCTAGATTGTATAAATTTCTTTTATATTATACATATATATGTATAATTATATTTAAATCAAATAAAAATAAAATAAAATATAAATAAAATCTAAAATACATATTTGAAAAAATTTATGTTATGTAATTAATATAGTTACTTATTCAATAATTTTATCGCTATTCTATCGTTTAATCATTGATTACTGGTAATAATAAGAAATTTAAAAAATGTTTTTTATATTCACTAAAAAATGAAATTTTATGAGATATAACTTTATATTGTAAAATATTTATTAATTATTTATTTGTAACATAATTATAGATCGAGGTTATGTTTATATCGATATAACAATGTGCGGAATATTCTGTAACATTTCACAAAATCATGCAAAAATTTCACATGAGGTATTATTATAATGCATGAATATAAATTCTTATTAATTATTTATAAAATCAATTGTTTTTGTCTCAGTGGGAAGCTTGTAAAAATTTATTAAATGCTCGTGGTCCTGATAGAATAATTGAAAAAGCTGAAAATTTAACGCCCAATTGGTTTGGACACTTTGTTGCTTCTATATTATGGATGCAAGGTTCTAATTTGATTGAACAACCTGCCATAGATTGTAATGGTAATATTCTTCTTTGGAATGGAGATATATTTTTTGGAAACTTGGTAAATATTGTATATTATGTAATTACTAATTATTATAATTATTTAATATATTTGCATTGAATAACCATATTATTCATTTTAGGCTCAAGATAATACATGTGACACTAAGATATTACTAAATACTCTACAATTATCTTCAAATATATTATCAGTATTTAAAGAAATCCAAGGCCCATATAGTTTTATATATTTTCAGAAAACCAATAATCTCTTATATTTTGGAAGAGATATTATAGGAAGACACAGTTTACTTTTAAAAGTAAACACTGATGAAAATATTTTAACTTTGACATCTGTTGCCAGTAAACAAATAAATAAAATTATAGAGATTCCTGCAATTGGAATTTTTGTTATGAATTTAACTAATTTAAGAGTAAATCTTGCATGTTACCCATGGAAAGAACCAGATTTGCGATTTACAGATATTATTGAGACATTAGAGACACATTTAGGTGTAGACATTGATATTAAAAAAACTATATTAAAATCAGATGGATTGACGTGTCTACATTTACATCCTCATATTAAAGATTTGGAATATTTAGAAAATAGCCCTCATTTAGGGAATTTTTGTAAAATATTAGAATATTTATTAAAAAATGAAGATATTCATAAAAGAGTTGAACATTTGTTGCAACTTCTTTACAAAGCTGTAGAAGTTAGAATAAAAAAACAACCAAAATTTTGTAAAACATGTATTAAATTAGTTTTAAACAAAGAAAATATTATATGCAATCATTCAAAAATAGGTGTACTATTTTCTGGAGGCTTGGATTCTGCTATTTTAACATTAATTGCTGATAAATACATATCACAAAATGAACCTATTGATTTAATTAATGTTGCATTCGAAAAGTTAATTAATACTTCTAAAAAATCTAACAATGGAAATAATGAAAAACAAGATATGGAGAAGCAATATGATGTTCCTGATAGAAAAACTGGAAAACAAACATTTTTAGAACTTACAAAAATTTGCCCAAAACGAAAATGGAATTTTATAGAAGTATATATATATATATATATATAAAAAATTTTTATAAAAATTTTTTATGTATGAAAAATATTTCGATAATTAATGTAATAATACTTTTAGGTAAATATCAGCCAAGCAGAATTACAAAAGTATCGTTCATCGCATATTTGTAATTTATTATATCCACTATGTACTATATTGGATGAAAGTTTAGGTTGTGCTGTTTGGTTTGCAAGTCGCGCAAAAGGTATAATCCATTCGGGTACTGATATTTATGAATCCCCATGTAGAGTACTTCTCTTAGGTATGGGTGCAGATGAATTATTCGGTGGATATATGAGACACAGAACAATATTAAGACATAAAGGTTGGGATGCTTTAACTCAAGAATTAAATATTGAATTAGCTAGAATTTCTGAAAGAAATTTAGGTCGTGATGATCGTATTGTATCAGATCATGGAAGACAATCTAGATTACCATATTTAGATGAAAATATAGTGGAATATGTTCAAAAATTAAAACCTTGGGAAAGGTAAATTCAAATAATAAGATCAAATAGTAAGATCAAATAATGATAAAAAATAAAAAAATAAAAAATAAAATTAAGTTATTATTTAATTATAGGTGTTATCCAACAGATAAAATGCCATCAGGCTTAGGAGACAAATTACTTTTACGTTTGGTAGCATATAAACTTGGTTTCCGAAACACTGCTAATTTTCCTAAAAGAGCTTTCCAATTTGGATCTCGAATTGCTAATGGCAAGGAAAATGCTAAAGATATATCATATCGTTTATAAAATAATGGTACATATAATTTTATTTTAATATAATTAAATACAATTTTAAATAGCTATTTATATAAAATTATTTATGTTTTAGATATTACTTAACATGAAATGAATATTAAAAGATTTATATTCTAATATTATTAAAAGTGAAATTATTAATATATAATTATTATTGAATATTTATATGAGTATCAAAAAATAGAACAGGAAAAACCAGGAGAACAAAAATACATGGGTAGGTTTTATGTGTTTTATTAGTCTATTATTATATGTTATTATCTCATAATGTTTTATTTCTAATTTTGTATGAGATAATTAACAAATAATTATATAATTTTATCTAGATTTCTTTCTTATATATATATTTATTTTTCAATTATATTTTTCTGAATTTAAAATTTATTATAAAATTATATGCATTTTTAATAAGTTTGATATTTTATATTGATATTATGTGTTAGAACTTTTATATTTTTTATGTTTAAATTTAATATGCATTTGTATTTTATAAAAATATTTTTTTAATAAATTTTTTACACTGATTTTTTTAAAAAATAAAATATACCAATAATAAATTTTCTATTCAATATTTAATATATTCACTTTTTTATAAAAAATATTCTATAATCATAGTAGAAAATTACTTCAGTGATGAATTCTATATATGAAAACAATAAGAAAAGTTATATAAACATATGGCTTATTTAATCATATTTTCGATTTATTATTTATTATAAATTTTATCTTAAAATAATTTTATTGAAAGATAGTAATAATTGAATTAATTTCATCTATTTGTAAATAAAATTAAATGCGATAGCAAGATTTTAAACGAGCTCTAGAACGAAATTTGTTTCAAAATTAATTCAAATAAATATTTCAGATTTTCAGTCTATCTAATTTTGGTTTAAAAATAATAAAAAAGAAAAAAATTAATTAAGAAAAAAATAATACGACGCGATTATGATATTAAACGTCATAAGTTTCATTATCATTGTATATCAAATTCAATGCCAATACGATGATAACAAAAATTATGCTATTTAATATTGCAATGATTATAAAAATGATAATTTATTATATTTGAATTTTTTGAAAATAGTATGATTTAAAATAATAATTCTATATATATAGGTATATGACACTAATTAACTAATGTGAAAAAGTAATTAAAATTTCAAATAATTGTTTTAAATAATAATTTTATTTAAAATACTTGAATAATAACATTTATTTATAACTATTATAGTTGATTCGTTTTTTATATAATCTCGATCATTTGACACTAATTATTTGTGAATATTCAATGCTTTAAATAATAAATTATTGAAAAACTTATTAAAATAATTTTATTTTTAATTTCAACTTTTAAAATTTTGTCCATCTCTAATATAGAAAGTAGAAAATAATAAAAGGAAATAAATTATAGAAATTTGATAGGATTTATAAACAATATTTATATTGTTTTTGACTTTACACACAACACGATGATATACTATCTATTTGCTATTTCGTAGTATGACATAGTATGTCTTTTTATCAGGTAGATGGCATTGTCAAAATTTTTTAATTTATTCCCCTTCTATAATTGTCAAACTCTATGTATATAGCCCTTTCTTTAATAATATTGCTAAATTTTATTTTCTTGCGGTTTTCCTAATAATACTTTATTATACAGTTGTTTTGTCTTAGTATCTAACAATTCTTAATGAAAAAGTTTGTACGGAAGGATCGTGAACAATTTGTATATATTTATTTCATTTATTGTGTTATTTGAACCATTATATATATATATATATATATATATATATATATATCACTAATTGTTTTAATATTAATTAATGTTTTAATTTTTAATTTATTCAATTTTCATTAATAGTAATTATAAATGCGCAATAATTTCAACTTTTCATAAAAATTTCACAATTTCATAGAAATTATATATATAAATATTAAAAAGAAACAAAGAGGAATAATATAAATTCAAATTTATTATTTATTTATTATATAATTTAACATACTATATGATTGATTAAATGTAATGAAAATATAAAAAAATGTATTGAAAATATAAAATATTTGAAAATATAATAATATATTTGAAAATATAATAAATAATAATATTGGAAAGTTAAAACTTATTTTCTTAGTTTATTGCACAAATAATATATATTTATTTTTATTATTAATTTTTATTTATATAATTTTATTTTTATTTGTATAAAAACATTTAGAATGATTTTTGATGAAAACATTTAATATGATGTCGCAAAATACAATTTACTTAGACATAGAATTACGAAAATTAAGACCAGCAGAATTGT